CTCCCCACTCCTCTCTTTTTTCCTCCCTCAATTTTTTTCCCCTCCTTGTGGTGTGAATGATAAAGTGGTCCGATGATGGCCCTCGTTATGGAACCTATTAGCAAGTGGACGCCCAAACAAGTAGTGGATTGGATGAAAGGTAAGGGCATTTCTATATTGCAACCTGGCTTTTATTCCTTGTATTCTATAGAATCTGTGCTTTTGCAAGGGGGGGGGGACATAATTATTTTTTTTAACCCAGCTCCTGCTCCTTTTGATGTGCATTGTGTGGAGTTCTCTCAGTTTTGGGGGGGGGGGTCGATCTGTATGCTGTCTCACACAGAGAGTTGACTGAGAGGCACGACTGAATACAGAAGCTGGTTTCTTTGACACTCTCGGGTAACGTGCTGCTGGAACCTCTTGGCCAACAGCTGATGCATATGTGAGCACAAACGCTGACAGAACTGTAGACCCCGTTTGCGTCTCAAGAAGGCTCCCTTTAGTCATTGCACAGTGTAATGATCTGATGCCCGTCTGTCATTAAATTTGTCCTGATTAGCTCTTGATATGCTGAGAACAGGTGACTCGATGCAGTAGCTGGGCATGGTTGCAGCACTTCTGTGTATAGTTTTGAAGGGTTCGAAAGGGGCTGGGGGAAGGAGGGGTGGCATCCTGGATTCTTAAACCACACACGTACTGATTAGAGTCAGGTTTGCCGGCTTTTGCTTGCAGCTGTCTCTGTATTTTGTTCCCTGAGTACGGCTGACTGTGACAATCCCCCCAGCACCGTGGACAGTGCAGCCCTTGCCATATATGGAGAGTGCAAGGGGGAAACAGGAAGGGACCGCCTGTCTGAGAACAACCTTGCTGGGGAAACTCTTCAGGAGAACTTGTCAGGAATGATGGGTTCTGCACCCCCCCAGCCCCACATGTTGTGTTGTGCCACAGATGAAAGCTGGGAAATGTTTTGCATTTGGATACCCAAGTTTGCGATAATGATGGGCACGGTTTAGACAGAAGGCATAAAACACACTCCTGACAACAAGCCAGTTTCTTCTTCCTAAGTTAGGAGGGTGTTTATGTATGCAGGAGGGTGATATATATCTGTAGAGGCAAGCATTTTAAGGAAGGGTTTGCCTTACAGCATGAGCAAGCCACAAATTGCCTGCAAAAGAAGGCTTAATGTTACCAAAGGAGCTCATAGGCAACATTTTTTGTCTGCATGCTTGCAAGCGCACACACAATATGTGTATGTGTATATATATTTCTGTGTCTAATAAATAATTGTCTACATCTACCTATATTCATTACAATGCAAACTGTGTATATATATGTGTGTGTGTATACTTACTTGTGCCATAAATGGATTTCATATTTGTGTAGTGTTGAAGTCCATAATCTTCCCCTTTTCCTTTTTTTTTGTAAAGAACCTGTGTTTTCTGGTTGCTATTAACCCAAGGCATTTTTTTTTAACTTTGAAACAGAAATACACAAAGAGTGTAATGGGAAAGTCTATAACATCCAGCTTTTAATTCCCAAAGGTTCCGCATATGCATGAAATATTGTACGCTGTATACCATTCAGCTCATTTTGATACACAGACTGAGTTGCAGACTGAGAATTGTTTGTATTGCACATGATAGTTCTAAATGATTATGTGCATGGCAGACTTGACTTTTCTGTCTTTCAACCCCAATCTGTGCAAATGTCCTGGTTAATAAAACAGTGTCTGTTGCCTTCGACACCATAGTGTCTGTTATATACCTAGACCCTTATACTGTTGTCCTGGTGGTAACATCTAAAGAATCCATTAAGTTGTTTTCTCAAAGAAGCTGTCTCTTGAGACTAGTTGAGGGGCTCATGATACCAAACTGGCTATGCCAGGGAGGTGAGGTCTTGAAATTACTAGGTACAAATTACAGTCTAGTGACGGTCTTGGAAACAGGATGTTGGAACCTAAGGAAAATGTTACTATTCATAGATCCATGTTCATGTTCCCAGAGTTATTTTGGAAAGTGAAAATGCTGTCATTTCTCCCAAATGATGTGACAGAAGGGCACAATGCAACTGATAGGGGAAGATAACGCTTGTCACTGATCTCAGAATAAATTTCAGCACCCTTGCATTTGAGATTGACATCTCAGTGGAAAAAGACTATCTTCCACTCACTGAACAAGCAGCTTTCCCCCCCCATAAAGTCTTCAACATCTTAAACACTTGGAACATAGTGGGCAAGACAGACAACCTCTGTGCTGGAATGTGGACCTTGCCTAATCCCTGTAAATGGGATGGCGATTAGAAACACAGCAGAGGTGGGTGAGAAATATGGGTATGTCAAACTTTTTCTCCTGCCTGTTCTTTTCCTTCCCTTGCATCTGCTTCTCCTAGCTGCTTCCAGTCAGAGCCTCCTCACCGGGGGGGTGGGGGGGAGGCAGTAGAGGAAGAGGGTATCCAGGAGGGGGACGTGTGGGTGAAGGAGAGGTTCACCCACCATCCTACTGCTATACAGGAATTCAGCAGTGACCTGGTTGTAACACATGGGTCTGCTGCCGTCACATCTAGCTAAGTTCTCAATAGAACATGGTATGCATGATTACAAACCCTAGTATGCCGGTCTTAGAAACAGCCTTTGTCTGCCACTCATCGTGACATAAGAAATTCAAGGGGATTCCTTGAAATAATATGAGTTGTCTTTCAAACTACATGTTGCACAATAGCCAAGAGTGTGTGTAGCAGCGGCAAGGAATTTCCCTTAGCTTGTGGGCTTTCTGTGTGCAAACAGTCATATAAGCTCTGCTTAAAGCCATTTTATTACTAACACCTACAGTATAGGATTAGATTTCCCTTTAGCATTTGCTCTGCAGCAGAACACATATTAAAGCGTGAACTGCACCGCTAAACAGAAAAAAAAGAGCATTAAATAATGTATCGTCGGTAAACTGTAGCATGATGTCACCAAGGCTAGTCCACATTTAAGACTCTATGCTGTTTTAGGCATTACATGCAAAAAGTGGTCTCTTTGGCATCAACTCATAACCCAAAATAATTGGCTGGGTCTATGTGTATAATTGTCTTTACTGATGTCTGGTGGTGGTGTCATGTCACGTATAGGATAGCGATATTATCCTTTTCACAGATTGGTTGGCATTACCCATAGGACTAAAGGAGTAGCCAAAGTAAACAACGTCACCTAGTCCATCGAAAATGGTAATGATCAGCATCAAGTTTCATTTGGAAAAATTTCTACCTCTGCTGAAACATCTGGTTGTGACTCTGACAGAAACAGGCAAATATTCTTTATAGCCCTAGACCAAACGTTTATACTCAGAAACATTTATGTTCCTCTATAACAGAAAAAAAATGTAAATCTTTTCCTGAAAAAAAACCCAACTGTTCGTTTATTCTGTAATGTTAGACACTCAGGTCCCAGAGTTCACATCAGGATTTAGCCCTGGATTTTTTTTCTGGGGCTGAATCCTGGAAATAAAGTAACAAAGGCTTTGCCCACCTTTATATTATTTATTTATTAACTAGAATTTTAAACCACCCTTGTGTACACACAAGGTTCAGGGTGGTGAACAACAACAATGACTATACCCAATAAAGCTTCGCCTGCTAAATTTCTGTGAGCCTGGCTACTGTTAAAGGCACAGGAGAAGAACCTGGAGGGGCAGAATAATGGCAGCGTACATCTCTTAGTGCTGAAGTCTTCCTCAGATTTCTGCATAACCCAAGGAGGAAAGAGGAAACTTTCTAGATCATGGAGTTCCAGAATGCTCAAAAGCATCTGATGCTGACCTCTGACTTTCTTGAGATATAGCCTGCTTCGTTTTCTGACCCCAAGACTGTTTGAGGTGCAGAATCTCCTAGTGGTAGAGATCCTTCCTTGCATTCTTCTTGAGGTAGATTTCTACCTTCACTCGGCTCTCACAAGTTGCCCGAGGTCTTCAGGTCTTCTGGGTTTTGAAGTCTTTAAAAGTTAAGCAATGGACTAATGACACTATCAAAGGTTGAACCAAACATGGCAAGCATCTGGATTCTATTGTAAGATGGGTGCACAAATTCCCTTGTGATGTAAACATTATCCCACATTTATGCAATTTGTGGGGGAAGGTGTCTATTCCAGGGTAGGGGTGTGAGAGGATTATATCTGGATAGTCAGGAAGCATTGCTGGTTGCCAAGCATCAACCATATTCATTCTTCTTCCTCCACCACTATCTTCTGACTCTAGGCCACCCCATAGAATGACAGAAGCAGTGGAAGGAACAACAGCAGGGAGAGGAAGAAATGATTCTGCTTCTCTTTTTCCTTAAGACATCCCTGAGAGTCCAAGAAGTACAAGTAGCAGCTGCTATTTAGCCAAGGAGTCTTTTCTTAGGAACAGCCTCTGTAATGTTGGCCTAGTTTTCACATCGAAGGTTTTGAGAACTGTTGAGAAATTAATTTATTTTGGCTTATTTATTTATTTCGATTTTTACAAGACTCGATCCTGAGGACTCTACATAGCTTTGTCTTATCAAATTTGTATATAACCAGCAAGCAATATTCTGGGAGGATTCTGGAATACTTGGTTGTAGGAGCAACGGTAGCTGAAAAGGGGGAAAATAATCTGTATTAGAGATTGACATTAAGGATCTCGAAGACAAAAGTCTCAGCCTCGTTCTTTCATCTTTCATTTCTTAAAGGTCAATGCATTTTTCTCTCTTCCTTCTCAACTATAGTCACTCTAAGACCCCTGTCTTTCTTTGGAATTCCAGAATAGTTTTGGACTAGCAAAAATAATTCAATGTAATACGCCCCCTACACTCTTTATCTGATTTCTTTTCTATATCCAAATTATGCACTACATCAAAAACAAGTTGAGATTCTCCTTTGAAATCTCCCACTTATGGAATGTTTGCCCTTTGTTCCTAAGCTGCTTATTGTGATAGCCAGTAACACACATGGTTCTAAGGACAGAATCGGGCAAATTCATGGAAGACCAAGCCTACCTGTGCCTAATAGCCATGATAGCTGTAGATGGAACTCCCAAGTTCAGAGGCAGTCGACCTCTGGGAACAGTCAAGTGCTGGACTTCAGCAGAACACTCCTGAAAACATAAATCCTAGTAGCATGTAGACTGGATTTGGAATGAGGCATTGTCGGGGATAGTGTTAGGG